TTTGCTGCCCTAAAACACTCTGTTCAGGCCACCTTGAAAATAAAGGTCTTGTAGCTACAACTCTGTTCCCAGGTATGGCGCGCATCAGGCTTCACAGACAGTGGAAATAGCTTCTTCCCGGCTTTGCACTGCGAATCAGCCCCACAAAAGCGCTGGCTTTCGTTTTGCAGCTTCTCAGGTTTGTGAATTGTTGGTGGTGGAGGTGGTGTTGTTGTTGTCGTCGTCGTTGTTCTGGTTGTAATTTGATTAATGGATATTAATGTATGCATTAACAATGACTTCTCAGGTAGAAAAGGTGTCAATCACAGGACGGGGGACATCCTTCAACCAGGGTCAGGTCATCCTGCAGTCGGCAATCCAATGCACCAGGGTTTTCCAATATCAATTGAGACACAGTCTGACTTATTCAACAAGAAGCAAGCATCACTTCTCGGCATTGACAGTCCAAAACAAATTATATTGTTTCTGGAATGCACGGACACAGGGCAACTAGTACCAGGCAAGGAGTGTGTTTGTGTGTGCAAGTACCATTCTGAAAGCGTCCAATCTGCTTGGAGACCTCCATTTCCCCGCTGTCACCTGCATTTTGTAGTTCTGTTGCATGGAACATCCTTGTGATGTTGAGGATCGGAATGGATCACCAGATCCACTATATGTCTCTGTCTCTAAATTCAATCCCTCAAGCCCTGGTCCACCATTTGTCACCAACGACCGACACCGGCGACTTGCCGCTCCACCGGCAGCTGTTCGCCACATCACCGGCGACTGGCCTGTCGCCACCGGTTTCGGAACCGTGACAGGTGCGTTAGTCTTGCTGAACTCCTTATCCATGATGATTCAACTGGAGATGGAGGGGCGCACCATCGCCTCCCAGCTAGGCGCGGCGAACCTCGCGTCGGAGGTGCTCGAGTTGGGCGTTCGCCGCGCTGCGCCTTGGGTTGGTCCGGTCCCAGAGAGATCGGATGAGATCAGATGGTCCTGGTTTTGTAAACTAAACATAGGAAGCCTCCTTCATCCTCCTTCATCCCAGCATGGCATCTCCCATCGTACAAGAGAAATTGAAATTGTAGTGATTATATATATATATAATATATATATATATAAATATAACATCTGTCATAACTAGCTAGCTTGTGCTGGATAGGTACCTTGCGTTCCCCTGAACTTTTCATAGCTCATCGACACACACACACACACACTTAGGATAGGGTGTACTGAACTGAAAGCGGTGCCACACGCC